TGAAAACATGAATACCGAGCGAGCAGCGAGCTAAATGTTGAATAACTGATGTTTCAAGTATAAGACCCGAACATAGGGTGATACATATGGTTATATCTTTCCCCAAGTCATTGAAATACATACTAGTATATACGCTTGGCAAATATCCGACCCGTAGGTCATTTGATCAAATCAATAAAATAATGGTGGACTCGGTCCTTGACCTTCCCCATAACCAACCCATTGTTTAGCCTTCCCGCTATAACTTAGGGTTCATTATATAACTGATTGTTAATAGCCTTACTCTGCCACCGGGCCACTCTCCCGGTAATATCAAGTTTTAGGCCACGCCCGGCCCCAGTAAGATTTCCTTCTACACTATCCCACCATGTAGAAGCCACCCCATCAAGCAAACGTGAAGCAACAGCTAGCTTCACGTCAGGCAAAATCTGCATATCGATCTCTTACGCATCCTTGAGCTTTTTGATCCAATCGGCAACAACGCTAATGTCTCTGGTGTCGTCAAAGGATTTGCACCATGTCTGCCTAGAGACGTTCCTGAGGTGGCTCTTGAAGCTCCCCAGCTTCCTTGACCCGGACCTCCCTGAGAAGCACGCCTAGCTTGGAGTCTTAGTTTTCTCCTCTGTTTCTCCTTTTGGTACCACGCAAGTAACTCCCTCATTTGTTCAAAACGGGAATCGATCTCATCACCATCATCGTCAATATGGAAATCACCCCATTATATGGGGTCTCTACATGTCCCGTCTCGGGAACATAGGTTGAGTCATCCTTCCTGGTGTTTGTATATATCGAACACTAAGCTTACATGTGAATCACTCACATTTTGGGCTCGATGCCCCCCATAATTTCCACCTCTTCCCCTAAAGACACGTGACCTTCCCCGGTAAGCTCCAATGGAGGCTATCGGTGCTCGCCCCGTAGAGTTGTTCCTTGTCGGCATGCGTCTACCCTCCATTTTTGAAAGAAAATTCAGACGAGTCGTTAGACTCCTATCAATGTTAATCGAAGGAATAGTACTATAGACACTCATTGGCTCAAATCACAGTCATACCAATAGTTAAGGGTACTGTCTCAACAACTAGAGACCTTGCAACTTGAGTACCAATAATTCTATAAACACCAAAATACAATGTTCATGGTTTTAGGTAAATTCCTTTGTAAAAACTCTTGTGAGAGGTTGAGTACATAGTTTAGAAACTGTGATAACTCTGATACCACTTAACAGTCACACCCAGACCGCATCTAAGCGCTTTATCATACTGGAATTACTTTATACGAACTTGGCCATGCACATGAAATGCACACTGAGATATATGAGCCTGTTGTCATCAAGGATTTTCTGAGACAAATATTTTATGCATTAAAATATTATCACTCGCGAGGAGTTGTGCATCGTGATTTGAAGTCGAGAAACTTGCTTCTTGACTGTGTAGGGGATGTAGACAATCCTGAAACTAAGATCACTGATTTCAGGCTTTCAAGAGTTTGTTTGGGGTAGGAGGAGGGGTTGACTCTCAAGGTTGGTACTTTAGGGTATCAAGCTCTGGAGGTTTTGCTTGGCTCCACCCATTACACTTCTGTCATTGATATGTGGTCCGTGGGATGTCTATTTTTTGAACTTTTAATAGGCAGTGGTAAGATGCTATTCAAGGGTAGTGATGAAATGTCACTACTAGATGATTATTTTTTTTGCAAATTTGATACCCCTACAGAAGACACTTGGTCCGGCGTGTCATGTTTACCCGGATCTGATTTTAGCTGTCTATCATATCCGGGTATGGACTTGGCTGAAATAATGCCTTCCTTACCTGAAGATGGCAAAGATCTTCTTTCCAAATTATTGTGTCTCAATCCAACAAGCACAATTTCGGCAAGTGGTGCACTTGAGCATTCATATTTGAGGTCGTGAGTATTGACACTACATCATGGTAAAAGACTAAAAGTAGAAAATGGTGCTGCAAAACCTCGAGAGAGCTGTATCTCTTCAAACTCGAACATCTTATGCTACTATAATACTCCGTATTTATTTGTTGTTTTTCTGTTCAACCTCAAACTTCTTATGCTACTATAACTCCTTATTAGTTTGCTCTATCTTTTAAACACACATTTTTATAAAACCAAAAACTCTTGTGAGAGGTTGATTACATAGTTTAGAAACTGAGATTGCTCTGATACCACTTAATTATCATGTCCCAGACCGCATCTAAGCGCATGTACAACCGTTGTACAATCAAGTGACGTCACTCGCGAGTCACACTCACTCGATTGTACAAGGAGTACATGAACATTGTCCATCCATACTCAGTGAGTAAACATACATAACAACATCACAATACAGATTGAAAGAATAGTGAAAATATTCAATAAATGGCAAAATGTGGGCTCTCATGCCCAAAAATATGTATTCGTTTCAAAATATCCATGAGCATAGTTTATAATTTCAAAATAGTAAAGGAAGCACGGACCACGTCTTCGTTGAGATCGCTTCACCGTGCAAAGGTACGTATAGCAAGCTTTAGCTTCAACATGAAATGGTGCCCCCCCCCCGAAGGGGTCAGTACACGAATACTGAGCGAGCAACAGGCTAAATGTTGAATAACTAACGTTTCAAGTATAAGACCGAACATAGGGTGATACATACGTCTATAGCTTTCCCCAAGTCATTGAAATACATACTAGTATATACGCTTGGAAAATATCCAATGCGAAGGTTATTTGATCAAATCAATAAAATAAAGGTGGACTCAGTCCTTGACCTTCCCCGTAATCGACTCATTGTTTAGCCTTCCCGCTATAACCTAGGGTTCATTATATAACCGAGTGTTAATAGCCTTAGAATTTAATCATCAAATATCAAGCCTTATCATTTAAACATCATATTCTATGCAATTCCATGCATAATATACATATATAGGATCACCGGGGTTGATCCCCCCTCAAACCGGGCCCCGATACACGTTTTCGGCAAAAACAGGTGTCAAAACCCGTAGCTTAACAGGTTTCAGTTCTCCCTCAGACTGGCGCTGGTTCATCATGTACTCTACACGAACCGGCTACACAATAGCCCAACCGGCGCCGGTTTGGCCGGCGCTGGTCAACTTGCTGTCTCGGGTCAACGACTCGTTGACCCCTGAAACGTGCTCCATTTAATCTGAAACTTATACACAATATTATTAAGCCTTAAACCATCAATAAATTCAATTTTATCCATTCAAAACATTATACATGTTTTTATATGCACTTTTATTCAATTACATACATAATATACCATTTTAGTTCACATAAGCCCAATCACCTTGGCTAATCACATGTTTAAACTCTTTTAAACATCATTATGAATACATATAACATTTATTTAGGTAATCTCATACTTAACCTAAGAGTTACAAGACATTAAGTCGTTCACTCACCTTGAATGAGCTTTAATAAGTTCTACCCCTCTCGGTTGAACTCATGCAAGATTTGAAGAACTCTAGCAATATCTCTAGCGAATCTTTCAACTCCGTGAAAGCTCTAGGAACACCTTAGACAATTCCTTAACAAGGTTTCATCATCACAAAATCCATATCAACATAAATAATGTGTAAAAGGTTATTATCCGACAAACCAGTCACTTTGAATTCTAAGTGTGTTCTTGGACTTAAAACCAACTCTCAACCCCTCATTCTACACTTCTAGACATGTAGAACAATACTAGAGGTCCTCCATAAGATGTACTACGTATATGTCATATGATAGTTAAAGAGTAGAGAATTTTTATAAGGTCATTACCTTAACCCACCACATGTTTTCCTCCTTTTTCCTTCCTTAACCCTCCTTCTTGAACTTCCTTGAGCTTGAGCTCGAATTTAGCTATGGAAGAATGGATTTGCATAGCTTTCTCTCTTTTTTCTTGGTGCTTGGGTTGAGCTAGTGATGAGGGGATGGATAGGGATACTCATTTTGCCTCATTTGTGTAATGAGTGAAGGAAAAGAGCCCCCATGTTTTATTTAGATGCCTTTCATCTCAAATCACTCCTCTCCCACCCCTTAGCAATTCCCACGCCTTTTTGCTGTGCTTGTCAAGATATTTACGTGGGATAACTCCCATCCATGTGGGAGGTCATCCTGTTAAGCCCCGAAGTGTACACTCTGTCCCGAAAGTTGTATTTCTCGGACTGTTTTGATTATATTTTATTTTGTCACGCCAAATAAAATATATATCATATTTCCAATCAAAATGGGCCTTTAGAATGAATATACATTCCCCAACTTTAATTTAGAAATCCCCAAAATGTATTACAGGGTGTTATTTGATAAATTAGCAATACCGGTAATTGGCCCTCGTTTGACCAACCGGTCAACTGCATGCCTTTTCTATGGTCCAACTAGAATATCCACCACCATATATGTATTATCTAGACTAAGATGAATATAAAACATGGCCCCAAAAATATCGGAGGGTCCCCGCTCCCGGCGTGGGTCTTACATGTAATTTACTATTAACGCAAAAGAGAGAATAAAAATTTACAACCTCGTAAGTTCATTCAGCATTTCTCAATGTTCAATACATGATTTACATAAAAGTAAATATACTTGGGGACGGTGTTACAGATTGTCTTGCTGACTTCACTGTGTCAGCTCCAAGCTAAACTCCGGTCAACTTACTATTTTGGGATATTTAATACTCCCTTCGTCGCATTTTAGTTAGCCAAACTTGACTTTTCAAGTTAATGATGTTTAATTTTGACCGATTATATATTTATATACAGAAGTATTGGTAATATCAAAATGATATGAAAATGTACTTTGTTAAAAATACTATCATAAAAGTATAAAGTTACTAAATTTGGCATAAATATATTAATTAAAATAATTGGTCACAGTTTTTTTTTTTTTTTTTTTTTTTTTTTTTTTTTTTTTTTCCAAAACACAAGCTTAGCATGACTTGATACAGTGATGCAGCAATATTGGAAGCCACATAACATGAAAGCATTCAAACTTAACTATGAAAACCAGGTGTGGTAATCATTATTATCATGGAGTACTTCATAAAAACATTAAGACAGAACGAAGCAGAAAGTCAAGGGATCATATTTGTTCTTCAATTGGACAGTAAGCTATATGATATTAGGCCCTCAAGGAGAAGCTTGTACAGCGTGCTTATCTAATGCATTTTTTAGCTCATCTTTGTTAGCACCCACAATCCTATGCACCTCCACTCCACCTACTAGGAAAACAAGAGTTGGCATGGCCTCAACAGAGTATAGTTCAGCAGCATCCTTAAGCTCATCCACATCCACCTTGAGGAATATCACATGAAGCATCTGCTTTGCATGTTCGGCTAGTATTGGTGCAATGAAGCGACAAGGCGGGCACCAAGATGCCGTAAAATCTATCACCACCAGTTTGTTGCTCTCTGTGCCCTTCTTGATGTTTTCGATCATGTGATCCTTGTTGTGGCAGCTGATAACTTGTCCCTCTTCTGCAACTGGTGTTGCCGCTGCCGCTGCCGCCGCCATCTCCTCTTGCGGAACGCTGGTCCTGAAGTTGACTTAGCTAAAAGAAATTGGGGGTGATCTTTTTCTCAACGCTGGTCACAGTTTATCATCTTTGACTACTGGAAAAATATCAAAGATGATTAAGTAAAAGGGAAATTTACCGGGATATGACTAAAACTCAATGAGTTTCTTAATCTATGACCTAACTAGTTTGTATACCTTTGTATGACCAAAAATCCAAAATCAAATAGAAAATTCGTTTGTATTTAAATGTTGAATGACGAAAATACCCTTATTTAAAATATGTGCATTTTGCACTAATTTCGTCCAATTAAAATTACTGCACTTTATATTGCCGTTAATGCTCAAAATTAATGCATGACTTTACTGCACATTCGATAATAATCACTGCACTTCCCCTAAAATTAATTCTCTTCTTATTCAATTCAGGATTTTTTTTAAATTTAATAATTTTATAATTTTACGTCAAATTAGTTATGTTGAATTTCATTATTTTTCTGCCAAAATTAATTCTCTTCTTCAATGCATTCACTCACTGCCCATGTGTTGTACAACACTCTTCATCAATGATTCTATTTCTCGATGCATTCACTCATTGTCCATCCATGTGCACGTACCGCTATATAATGCTATGGTCATTGTTCATGTTCATCACTACCTATTGTGATATTCACTGCCCATATTCACTGCACATGCTCACTGAATTGCATAACATATGGGCTTTGATCTTCTACCTGTGCTTTGGCTTCGGATCTGATAATCTGTCACACGATTTTTCAATTGATTGAAGAATTTATGGAGTTTTTGTAGAAACTATCTAGGAAGCTTTGTGGAGACCTTAAAATTGATCAACATTATGTGTCCCTTCCCTTGAATCATTACATTTTCTGGCTTCAAATCTATGAGACTGTTCCTAATCCCTTAGGATAGTCCAATGAGAGTACCAAATCCATGGCTTAAAATCTGGAGGAAGAAAACTAAGCATAATAATAGTCATTATAAAAAAATCTTCAAATCAAAAAATACAGAAATTTACAGATAAAAGACTAACTGGAGCATTGATATCACCTCCGTCCAGAGCAATAATCAATAACATAACCAACGATTTTTTCTGTGACACTGCACCCGGATGTACTTGAATTCGAAATTTGATATGTACTTGGAATTTAAAGATGATATGAATTTGAATTTCCTAGCGAATAAAATTCACGTAATCGATTGGCATATTTAATTAATGCATGATTAATTAAATTATATATCGGGTCCATTATATGAGAATGGGCTACCAAATATTTAGCTGGGGCGTCATAATAAAATTATAGGAGTCCAATAAAACGCCAACCGAAGTTGATAAAAATATTTGGACAACCCGAGCGCTATTTTGACCCGACCGGCCAGAAATAGCGGGAATAATTGGGAGGAACTTTCCACACCCACTTGGGGTATTCTACAAGCTAATTGGACCCAAACAAAATTGGAAGGGGGACAAAATATCAAGGGAGGGGCGTGCTAGGCTGAGGAAGCCTCATTGAGACAAATGCCCATGCCTCATGTCCTACCCATTGGCCTTATCTCCAATTGATTGAGAGGAGTTGCCTCCCATCATTAGTATCATTCGATCAAGCTAGGGAGGGAGAGAGCTCAAGGAAGAGGCTTCATACTATCCACAACTTTGAGAAGCAAGAGCTAAGGAAACCCAATAGAAATCAACTAGAAGGAGAGGTAAGAACACAACTCTTATCTTTTAACTAGTTTATTTGATATGATTTTTAAGAAATCATATGGTGGATTAAACCATGAGTTTTACACGTTTAAAAGTGTATAATATTGTTATAAAGTGGTGGTATTTAACTTAGAAGAGTCGTGGAATCGATAGGAGTTGAAACGGCCGGAAACCGCCATTTAAAGGAAGCTGTTCGCAGTTGCAGACCACGAAAGCCGCCCAGCTTTCGTGAAAGCCGCCCGGCTTTTGGCTGCTGCCCAGAATTTCGCCTTCGATCGGTTTAGAACGGGGATTGATCGGAGGGCTTAACAAAGGCAACTATTTCAGCACTTCATAAGGTGAGGATGGCTGACTATATTGCTTATAATCTTTGGGTTAATTTCATAAGATTACCTAAAGTAATTAAATGTGATTTTTATGGATTATTAATGATTAATAATGCCTAAATGGAAATAACATTGTTTGTAAATAGAAGATGCATAACATACAAATTTATGAGAAAATTGTGTATGATGATGCATTATAGTTATGATGGTATGATGATGGTATAAACCATGAAATATTTGTGATAAAATACACTTTTACTTCATGGTAGAAATCATGAATGGATAAAAGTGATATTTTTGATATTGAGAATAAATCATATATGGAGTTGGAAAACCCATAGGAATTGGGCTTTATAATTATGTAGTAAAGAGTTTGGATGTTCAAGGATTAATGGATTAGTATTAAATGTACTAATCGGGAATGTTGTATAAAAAGTGATAGAATAAATCCCAAGGGCTTGGATTGTGAAAGATGCACCTTAAGTAGTCTATTGAGATGTCTTAAGGTAGAAATGGGTAACCACTAAGTTACATTAGGAGTGGGCCTCCTTGGCTACTCAAGATCGAGAAACTCTAGGCATAGAAATTGCTAGTGAGTTAGTATCGTGACTAGAGGAAGCCTCTAGCACGATGAAGAATGACTGGAGGAAGCCTCCAGCATTCGTGTAGGGTGAATTAGTTTCGTGACTAGAGGAAGCCTCTAGCACGATGAAGAATGACTGGAGGAAGCCTCCAGCATTCGTGTAGGACGACTAGAGTAAGCCTCTAGCGTAGAATAGGATGACTAGAGGAAGCCTCTAGCATAATCTAATGTGACTGGAGGAAGCCTCCAGCACAATGTATGTAAGGTGATTAGAGGAAGCCTCTAACACCGAATGTAGTGACTAGAGTAAGCCTCTAGCACGGTAAACCATGACTAGAGGAAGCCTCTAGCATGGTAAATAAATATAGATGGGCGTGACTTGAAGTCACGGGGAAAGGGTTGAACGTTTTCAAAGAAAACATGGGTCTTCGGGCCGACTACTTGACTTTATATAAAGTAAGTATATTTTCAAAGAGGGTAACCACGGGTTATGACCTATATTATATTATCACCCTATGTGAGGGTCTTGGAAATTGAAACTTTGATTATACTTAGTATAGTTGTCATTGTACTTGTCAAATGCTTCCAAGTACTGACCTCCCCTTCACGGGGGAGGCCACCTCACAGTTTCAGGTAGGACTTGAAGGTTGCTACCGCCGCCGTTGCTTTGGGGAGGTTCAAGGAAGGAGACGTGGTTCGTGCTTCTTCCGTTCCTGTTTTGAAAACATTTTTAAATAATGCTCATGGATACTATTTGAATATTTATTTGGGCTTGTATGCCCGTGTTTGCCACGTGTGGCTTGGATATTTGAATTAATGTTTCCGCTGCTTGATTAAATATTTTGCATTATGATTGTTTATGGATGTACTATTGTGAATGATATTCATGACGCCTAGTATAGTATGGATGAGTTGGACTGCGGTTGACTATTCGTACTGTACGGCGGGTTGTTGACGTGTCCGGTGGGTCCGGGGCGTGACAATTTAATTGGTATCAGAGCCTTAGTCCGTAAACTTCATAATGAAGCTTCAAAATTCCTTTTTGAAAACGATTTTGAAAACCATGAGCATAAAGTTTTGTACTTATAGAACTTTTGGTACTTGAGTTGCAAGGTCTCTAATTGTTAAGATGGTACCCTTAACAATTGGCATGGCGGCGACTTGAGCCAAAGGATGTCTTAAGTACTTATCCGTCAATTGACATTTGATGCGAGTCTAATGACTCATTCTCAATTTCTTTCAGAAATGGAACGTACCGGGAAAGTAACTAGAAGGAACCCGACTGGCCAGGCACCGAGAGGGTCCGTGCAAGGCAGTAGAGGGGCTTCTAGAGTGTCAAGGGGACAAGGCCGTGGAGGCCAAGCTCAGACCGTGAGTGACGGTCATGTTGAAACAGTGAACGAGTCTTATGAGTCCGAGGAGGATTCAACGTATCAACCGGGAACTGAACCGGTGGAAACCCCATATGATGGGGAGGATGACGATGTGAGTGAAGAGAGCGATGATAATGACGCTCTTGAAAGAATGGAGGAACTACTCCGACAGTATCAACAAGATCGTCAAAGGCGCCGGGCAAGGCGTGCTTTGGGAGGGGCTTCAAGAAGAGGAAGCCATGTGGGATCTAGGGGACATGTAGAGTCCCGAGTAGATCGGGGTGCTGAGGTCCCAATAATAAGGATCTCGAAGTACCTCAAAGAAGCGAGAGATTTGGGGTGTAAGCCGTTCGATGGAACGGGAGATATCTCCGTTGCGGCGGAGTGGATCAAAAGATTTAATGAAGCGGCTCTTGATATGCAGCTGCCGCCAAACATGAAGATGAGAGTAGCAACGAGGTTGCTAGAAGGAATGGCATCCACGTGGTGGGACGGAGTCAAAGGGAAGTATGGTGAGAATGTCACTTGGGAGAATTTCCGGCAGGAATTCTTCAACCAGTACTACTCCGACTTCGAGGTAAACTTGAAGAGGAGGGAATACACCAACTTGACCCAAGGAGGCAGGTATACCGTGAGACAACTCGAGCATAAGTTCAGGGAGCTTGCCGAGTTCATACCGGAGTATGCATGCGATGAGAACCGAATGGTTAACCACTTCTGGGATGCTCTGGATTTAGACGTGCGTGAAAGGGCAACACAGCTGCCTAACATGACGTTTAGTCAAGTGGTGGAGCAAGGCTTGAAGGGAGAAAAAGAATGGGAGGAAAGGAAGCTGAAAAACGCCGAGGAGGCGAAGAAGAGAAAATGGGAGAACGCCGGCCCTCAGGGTTCTAGCAAAAGGGGGAACCACGGGGGAGGTGGATCTTTCAGAACACCCGCACCACCGCCAAGGGGAAACCAAGGCCCAGGGGGGCAAGGCTCGAGGTCACAAGGC